CCCCAAAACCCCAAAACCCCAAAACCCCAAAACCCCATAGCTTTAATTAATTATTGAACAAAACCAGAAATGTCTGAATGGGAGAAAGCTTTTGAGCAATCAAAGCCTTTGATAACCTACGCCTTTCTATCAGGGCTGACTACTGATTATTTAGTCGAGATATTTGATCAGATAAGACAGGAGAAAGATCCAACAATGAACCATATAGAACAAGTAGTGCTTGATAGGATTCCGAGGAAGGATAGACCCGATTATGAATTCCCATCAACAGCTCCGATCTTCCTAGAGGGGTATAATATTAAGACTGAGCATGAGAACCCATATTTCGTCCCTATTGTGTTGACCAGTACCGAGGCAGGAAGAAGTTATGGCTTCGCATTATTATTTTATGAGAATCTTAAGGACCATGTGAAGGTTATCCAAGATTTACTCGATTCTGAAGACGCTGAAGATATTTTAGACAATTTCAATGCTAAATAACCAGTTCGAGATGTTTGAGGAAGACCGAGGAAGGATTGGTACTATTGTTGAAGACGAAAGAGAAAGTATTTCAGCTAATCCAATTATGAAAATAAAAGAATTTCTTATGAAGTTTAATGATGAAGAGCTCAGCAAAGACCAAATTTTTGACGGAAAGGATTATTACATCCCAAAAGCTTTGTTCCTCCTCTCAAGATTTCCTATATTTGAGACAATTGAGCAGATATTGAGACATCTTTACATAAATTGCCAGATAGGAACCGAATTTCCAATAGAATCATACTTGAGCTATCTCACCCATTATGCTCCATTACCTGAGATAGGCTCTCAGATCACCTATTCCTTCCCTAATAAAAAACAGTTTGTAGTGGAGAGCAAGCTACTGAACGAGCTACCTGTTGTACCTATAAACTTCTTCTGCGATTTCTTCATGGATTCTTTCCTATCAATGCCAAACCTATTCGAACTGCTAAATTTCTTCCTGTGCCAGCTGGGTTCAACAGTATTTATCTCAGAAAGTGCTAATAAAATTGTAATTTCAACAGAAGTGTTGAGATCAATTATCTTTCCATTTGATTACGATGAGACCTACATCCCTTGCTTACCTTCAGCGCTGATTAATTACCTTGAGGCTCCATTCCCAGTGCTGGTCGGCCTTGTTGTTACGAAGGAAGAGCAACTAGAAGAAGCTTACTCAATAGCATCGAATAAAACATTATTTGTAGATATTGATAACAACAAATTGAGGGTTAAGTTTTGTGATGAAATTTTGGACATAAAGGATTTCCGCAAACAGTCTGAAATCATTGAACAGGATATCAAAGTTAGCTTTGCTAACAAAACTCTTCCTCTAAAGTCTAAGTAAGGCTCCTTTGTAAATTTTTAGACTTGATAAAGTTACTCTTGGAGTTGAAACTGCAGTGCATCAGTACAAGAAAGGCCTGAAGACCGACCAAGATGGTGGAAAATTAAGAGAAGAAATGGTCAACAATATAAGGTCATGCTTCCTCAGATACTTTGTTAATATATTCAGGGATTATGAGAAGTACATAGAAGGTAATCATTTCAAAGTTTAATTATGTAGAACCTCAAGACCTGAGCATCTATGATACAGATATTAGGGAGATATTTAATGAGAAGCAATTTATCGCTCATTCAAAGGTTAGCAAGAGCTGTGACTTTTACCAAGACTTTTTCCAGACAAGGCTGTGGGTAAGGTTCCTTGAAATGAAATAAAATTCCTGATGAGCTCACCCATTGGACTAATATTAACATTTTTGACGAAAATATCCTTAAGAAAATGAATGATTATGTGATGAACTATTGGAAGAAAGTTGATACTCCTTTCCTGGACGAAGTCAAGGATGTCAAAACATATACTTTCCTCTTTGATCCCTCTAAATATATAAGCAAGGAAGGAAGTTTAGAAGAAGCTTATTTTGAAGCAAAGGATAAACAGAAAACACTAATTTCGAGGTATATCTGTACAGACCAATCACAGATCTCAAGAGGAAAGTTCTTCTATCAGATATTCCCTTGCTTTGTGACCTCTTACCTGCCGAATAGTTTCAACTTTCCTGTTGATATGATAACCCCTGATTTATCTAAAGAGTATCAAGAAGAGGAGAAAACATTCAAGAGCATGAAGGTAAAACGCAAGACTTACAACTACCTTAGCACTATCGAATGTGCTACTCTCGAAGACGATATGCTAGTCATCTGGATAATAATGTGGAGGATGTGCTTCAAGTTCATCCCTCAAGAAGAAGAGAAAGCTTTCAGAGTTGATCAGCTCTGTGGCATCCTCCACAGACACCTTAAGAACAACAAGAAGTTTAAGAAAGCGCTTCTGCTCTTTGAAGAGGTGCTGAATGTTATTCTAAAGCACGGCAACCTGAGTATGGTAAAACAAGTCCTGAAACTGATGAAATACCTCCAGATTAAGAGAAACTCTACTATAGACAACATCTTCTTCATGGCTATTAGGAAAAAGAGAGAAATCCTCAGCAGGATGGAAGAAGTCAAAGCAGATGGAAGCCATGTCAAGATCTCAGAGATGATTGCTGAGATCGAGGGCAACCATATCTCTGTTAGAAACTTCCGGAAGTGGGACAAGTCACTCGACTCTTCAAAAAGAGAAACCATCGTTTCCAAGAAGTTGTTCATGAGAAGGACTTTTAAGTCAGGAAAGGTATAATTTTGATGTTACTTTTAGGATGTCCATAATTTCATGATTAAGGATATTATATCTATGAGCGCTGATGCTTACTGAAGCAAATGAGAAAAGATGCTCAGATGGCTCCAGATACAGAAATGTAAGCAGTCTGATGACGAGCATGGCCTGTTTTGTCCAGACTGACTTGGAAGAATGGAGGCAAATCTTCATGTAGTCATTGGGTGTAAGCAGAATTTGCCTGTTACTACACACCTAAGTGAATCACAGTCATATTTAAGAATTAAAGATCTGAGAAGACTGATAAATGACCTCTATGAGATTCGTCTTGTTCAGACAGAAGAAGAGATATTCGGTTTAACAATTTTTAGAGAACTTAGTAGGCAATTGTTTTGGAATTGAATATTTCATATGATTGACTATAAAATGCCTTATGATTTTATTCTCCCATATGAAGGTTCAGATATTTTCAAAGAGCTTAAGAATGCAAATAGACACATCTTTATTTCTCATACTGATGAAGTCGAAGGTTTCCAGATTGCAGTAAGGCAAAGAAGACATAAATCAGATGTCCCAAGGATGTACTTATAAATTCAAACTAACTTTACCAAAATTTAAAATTTACCCAAATTTACCCAAATTCATCACATCAATATTCCCACCCAATATTGGGGTTTTGGGGTTTTGGGGTTTTGGGGTTTTGGGG